CCCAACATCAGAGGGGGCTGCTGGGGGGCAGATGGGTGTTTCTCAGCCCGTATATTATTACACCAGCGAACAGGCAGCCCCTGTCTCCCTCACCCCCATGCATGCACCGTCTCTGTTGCAGAGGCAGGACAGCGTGATTAATGGGTGAGCTGGGCTGGAGCCGCTCTAAAGGTGACCTTCAGGACTGGCCTGGGCTGTTTTGTAAATCCCCTCCCTCCACGGACTGCTAGCAGCATGTAGGAGCAGGGGATGGGGACCAGGGCAGGAGACTTGCTGCCCTGACTTCAAACCACCAGTTCCCCCCTGGTGACAACTCCCCAGAAGCTTGGGGGTCCCTGCATGTGCTGCAGGAGAGGGCTGACTTGAGCACCACCTGCCAGGGCAGACGTCAATGCCACCATCCAGCTTTCCATTTACCTCTGCCTTCTGCCTTGCCCTGGGAAACTGGGAACTTGGACCCCTGCCCACAAGCAAAAGCCACCAAAGCCCTAAAAATAAGAGGCTTTCTCATCACAGATCTGAAGGGCATCGCTGCCCTGGAAGCAGGTCCCTGGGAGCTCCCTCCAGTCCTGTGGCCTTGCAGGGAGGGCAGCAGGGATGGCTCCAGGTGCTCCATGCCCTGCATGGGGCTGGAGAGCTGGCCCTTCCTGCAGCCAGGAGCTAGGATGCAGAAAACATCCTGGCAGGACCGTATCTCACCTTTTCAGTCCAGCACAAAATGCAGCCACCCCTCCACAGCACTCCAGGGTTGGTGTCCGACCACCACATTGGCTCCCTTAGGCTGCAGAGGGAAGCAAAACTGAGTTATTTGGAAACTCAGCATTACCCGCCCCTGCTCTGTGCTGGTGGGCAGTGGGACACAGCCAGTACAGGCTGAGGCCAGGAGCCCAAAGGTCTGGGGAAGGCAGGAGGGCAAGCACGGGGGACATGGAGGGAGCAGGGCATGTGTCCAGGGGCCCGTCAAGCTCTGCAGGCTGGTGGGACCCATGCCCAGGCAATGCCTCGGCCATCCCTGCCGCCTCCCTGCCTGGAGGAGAGCACGGATCTGCCCTGCTTCGTCCTGCGGGGAGCTGGCTTTGCCCCACACTGAGCACCCAGAGGGACTGCTGGGACCAGGGTCTGCCGCTGCTGTGCCCTCGCATCTGCCTTCCAGTCCTCCCCCACTGCTGCCACAGGGTGAGCCGGACACAGGGCAGCAGGCGCAGAGAGGTGCTGGGGCAGCTGCCCGCACCGCACCGGGCACTGTGCCGGGCAGGGGCGGAAGGAAATGGGTGTTTCCAGCACGGGGAGCGGGAGAGCAGGCTTTTTCCATCAGGTGCTCTGTCTCCAGGAGCAGAAAGCAAAAGAAAACAAAAGGCAGGAGAGGAGCGGGGCAGGAGGAACCTGCGTGTCTGGATCATGTAACCAGCGACGTGCTGTAAACGCCGGGCGGCTGATGGATGTGCCGGCAGGGCCGCGGCAGGATGTGCCGGACGTGCCCCCTCCCTCCCGCCCCGCCGGCCCGGCGCTGCCGGCGGCCGCTCTCCCGACGCCTCTGGCCCCCCGGGAGCCTCCTGCCCGGGAGCGAGCAGGCTGGGGCGCTGCTGACCCCCCGCCCCGAGGGACAACCCTGCACAGCTCTGCCTGCCGACGCCAAAGCCTGGCTGTTATCTCACGCATGTGATCCAAAGGGCGTGATTTACAGACAGCCCGGAGCATCACCCAGCTCCCCGCCCGAGCAGGGAGAAGGGCCGCCGAGACGGCCGGATTAGGGCTATATAAATAATACTGGCCTTTGATGCAGAACCCAGGCGCAGCAAGAGCCCGGGCTGCTGACAGCTCGTCCAGCCCCTCGCGCAGCCAGCACCCTCACCCCTCCTGCCCGCGGCACCCTGGCACCTCAGGGCGGCTCTGCAGCCGCAGCACCCACATTGGGCAATGCCCCTTCCCTCCCACGGGAAAACCCTTCCCGCCAGGGTGGGGACTCTGGGGACAGCGCCAGTGTCACGGGGGCGCAGGAGGGGACAGGTCCGTGTCCCACAACAGCTGCCTGGGGGAGGGCACCCACCCTGCTCCATGCCAGTGATGAATTCCTGGCCGCCCTCACCAGCTGGGCTGTGGCTCTGTGTTTATACAACGGCAGGAGCCGGCAGAATTAAGCACTTTTTGTTTTTTCCCTTTTTTGAGAACGGGGAGTTTTAATTCCCACCAAACAATGTTCTTTTTCCAAGCAAGCTTAAAATAAGCCTTTTTGGCCCGGGCGTCTCTGGAGCCACTCACGCGCTGAGTGGGCCTTTGTGCAAATATGGATGTGAGTGCTGCAATGCCGGCTCGGCCGGGCGCTACCTGCCGGGGGGCAGCGGGGGGACGCAGGAGGCCCCCAGCCCCAGCCCTCCTCCCCTCCACAGCGCGGGGCTGGCTCTGGTGAGGCTGGCTCATTGGAGCATGCTTATGTTTGATGAGTGGAAAATGTTGCTCATACAGAGACAGGAGGTGCCGTGGCCGCGCCGGAGCCTCCTGCTAGCCCCAGCCGCCTGGCCCAGGGCTGGGTGTGTGCTCAGGTGTGCTGGAGCCTCACAAACCCACCGAGGAGCTGGGCTCAGGAGCAGCCTGGCACCCCGAGCAGCAGCCATGCCCTGCCGTGTGGCGCCAGCGGTGATGCTGCCCACCACGGGTGGAGGGGACCGCAGATCCCACACCAGCAGCTCCTGCCCTGGCAGGGACATTTCTGATTGTGAAAAAAGGCAAAAAGCTATTTTCTGCCAGCATGGGAACTGTGGTGTGATTCCTCCCATTCCCATACCTGCAGTCCCTGTTGTGTGCTCTGCCACACGCTCTCTGGCCAGCACATCCCTCCTGCTGAGCATGGCACGGAAGGGCTGTTCTGCATCCCTCTACCTGGGGAGCTCAGGCTCGGCAGCGGGTTCTGTGATGGTTGCCCTGGGAAATATGCACCTGGGTTTACTCGGGGCAGGTCGAGCTTATTTTCATGGCCCCTCCTGCCCTGTTTGGGTGTCTGTTCCAACTCTCCAGGCTCTGCTTTCCACCCAAGTTTCCTGTGGCAGTGGGGCAATGTGGTAGAGAAATAGCAGGGATGAGCAAGTACAATAAAACCCCAAAACACATCCCTTCTCCCCCTTGAGTAACCCACTCCCAGGGGAGCTGTGCAGGGGTTTCCAGCCCTTCCCAGCCACCCACTCCCTTCTCTCCCACCATGGGGCTGATCCCAGCACAACCCCACTCCTGCAGGGGTGGCACTGCGGCCAGCATTGGCACACGGAGCCCGCTGGCTGCCATGTCCCAGCCAGGAGGCAGGGGCTGGCCATGACCCAGCCGCCCGTGCACCCCAGCCCCTTCCCTCACTCAAGGCCAGTGGGGAAAAGCTGCCCACACCCACCCCGCCTCCCTCAGCTTTATCAAATTTGGCCATGTCTGAAAAGCCCTGGTTTCCTTTTCACCAAAAAAGATCAAAACTGGGTAATTGGCTGCCGGAGTGGATGCCTCTGAGCCTCTCTCATGTGTAAACAGCATTGCCGAGCGCTGACACAACGCAGGCGGCCACGGCACATGCAGGCGGCCGGCACCCTCCGGGTGCCCCAGGTCCAAGTCTGCTCACTGGCCCTTCTTGGGGGATCATGGAATAGGGAGTGAGATCACTGGAGTGCAGGGTCAGAACCCCAGAAAAGGCTGGTGGTGGAGGGCTGGGTTCTGCCGTACCACACAGTGCAGCAAAGGCAGGTGGCTGCAGGGCCTCTGCTATGGCCAAGTCCCCTCTGCAGGTCCCCAAGGTGACAAAAGGGACGTGCTGTGCTCAGTATGCAGCATCAGACCTCACCTGAAGGGATGGGAAAGCCCCTGAAATGTGGTGTTGGACTGTCCTGGGGGATGCTCACATGGGCTGGGGCTGTTAGGCGTTGGAATGGGCTGCCCAGGGATGTGGTGGAGTCCCCATCCCTGGAGGTGTTCAAGAGTTGGGTCGATTTAGAGCTTAAGGATATGCTGTAGGTGGGAACTGGGCTAGGCGAACGGTTGGACTAGATGATCTCCAGGGTCCTTTCCAACATAGATGATTCTGTGATTCCCCTGCGGGTGGGAGCAGCAGTGTTGCATCCCGAGGATGGGAGGAAAGGGTGCAGTTGGAGGTGCAGTGAGTTTTACCTTATTTGCCAGGTTTTCTAGAGGCCCAGTTCATTGATTGGGAAAAGGAAGTGGAAATTTCCCACTGCCCTTCAAAACACCTTCAAACCCCTGTAGATCTGCGGTGAGTGGGGAGGCAGAGGAAAACTCATCTAGTGATGCCACAAAAGCTGGCAGTGCTGAAGAGGGAGCAGGGTGAGGGAAAGGCCAGGCAGAAAACTCAGAAAGAGGTAGAGCAGCCCCCCAGCACTGCCCGGCCTTCGGGGGCAGCAGCCCTAACGAATGAAGGGACCCTCCAAAGAAGCAGGGCAGACCCTGCTGCCTGTGGGCGTGGGGAACAGCACCGGGTGGCTGGGGCTGGCAGGGGAGGAGGGGTGGAGGGATGCGGAGGGATGGAAATTGTGTAGGAGGGATGCAGAGGGGTCAGGCGGAGGGCGGGCGGCGCGGTTGGGTGGAGGACAGCACCATCGTGTGGCACAGCGGCTGCCTGGCCGCAGGGACGGGGACAAGGACAAGGAGAGGGACAGCCCAGGGCAGAGGGGATGCAATGGCGGGGTGCTGCAGCCCCCATCCCGAGAGAGGCCCCTTCTCCCATGTCCCTGAGACGGGGCATCGCAGCCGGCACCTCCCCTGCCTCAGTTTCCCCCACCACAGCCCCCTGCATCCCAATGCTTGGTCCTGGGAAGCCAGAGCAGCCCTGACTGGGTGGGGGCAGCACTCCACTACTAACACCCACCACCCCAAGGCCAGCTGTGAGCAGAGCTGGTGTGACCCCACTGCCCGGAGTTGGGCACGGGTTTGAGGACCGGAGGGGAAGGATTTGGGGACAGACAGACCAGGGGTGCAGGAAGTGATGGGTGCTGTTGACTCACTGCTGGACAGAAGGCTCGGTGGCTCCTGGTGACAGCAGAGCTAGTGGTGGCACAAGGATGCCAGCAGGGATGTCCCCACAGAGACAGCGGGACAGCCCCAAGCTACCTGCACACCTTGCTGCCAGCGCAAGACATGGCCCACCCTTGGGCCTCTGCAAGCTCCTGCTCCCCCAGCCCGGCAGCCATGTCCCTCCTGGCTCTGGCAGGGCTGTGACCACGCCAGTGTCACCACCAGAGCCCAAACCCCCTCCCCAGGGCAGGTTTTGCCCAGTAAGGCCCTCTGGGCTGCCCGGTCCAGGGGGGACCCACCACCATCCACAGCCGTAGCTGCAGGTGGAGCCAGCACCCGGGGAGGCGGCGGGTGGCCGAGTCCCAGACCACGCTGGCCCCCTGCCCTGCCTGCGCCGAGGCTCCCTGGCACCTCAGGGACGGGACACACCTCCGGCAGAGTGGAGCCGGGGGCTGGGGCTTTCCTTTTTTAGCTCCCCAGCTCGCCAGTGACAGTCACACTGCAGGACGGCGGCCGGCAGCCCCTCCGCGGCGATGGAGTGGGCTCCAAACCTGGTAGGTGACTGCACAGCAGCTCAGGACTCGCTCCTTGTTTTCCTTCTTTAATATAATTATTTGCACGCTTGTTTACGGGTGGCTAGCTGGGTTTGTTTGCTTTGGAGATGCATGCTGTGATCCGCCAGGCCCATCGCTCCCACGCCTGGCATGGTGAGGATGCAACAGCCTCAGAGAGCAAAGCTGCAACAGCCCGAGCGGACAGTCCGGCACCGGAGGGGGAAAACAGCCCCGGCTGAGCTGTCCCTGGCCCGGGGCACCGCACGCCCACAGGAAGGGCTGCGGGACAGCGGGCAGGGCTGCGGGGCGGCCTGTGGCTGGCTGCAGGGACACGAATAGCAGGGAACAGGACTACAGAAAGCAACTTTGTTTGCCGCTGGGCAGCCTGCCGGGTGTCAGCACACGGGAGCTCAGCCCTGCGAGGCCGGAGGGAGAAGGAAAGGAAAAAGCATCTTTCTTTTCTCTCTCACCGTCCCCAGAGCACAGAGGGAGGGAGAGGCGGGTTCGGATAAAGATCCCATTCTTGACTGTCATCTCTAAAGCTCCTTTGAAACCAGAGGCTGCCCAGGTACAGCCTGAGCTAAGGGTGTACCCATTGCTCCCAGCATGCAGCCACCTCGAGGTGGGCAGGGAAGGGACTGGGCACAGCTCGGTCAGCAGGGCAGGATACTTTGGGCAATGCAAATTGCCAGCTACAACCACAGTGAGGGGCTTTGCAGCTACATGCATCAGCCAGGGCTTGGGCCAGGGGCTCACCACAGCCATGTGCCCACCACCTCTGCAAGTGGCCCTTGTGTGTGTCTATGGGTCTCACTCGCAGGCCAGCGTTGCCCTTTGGGGGTTGCATGTGCCACCCCAAAGTCACTGCAGTCCTTCCATCACTTGGTAACCCATGGGAGGTGGGAAAGCTCCCTTTCCACACCAGCCCTGCAGCCTGGGCAGCCACACACAATCCTCCTTCCTCCTCAGCTTCTCCTCTGCATCTTCACCTTTGCCATGATCCTGGTCCCTGAAGCAAAGGACCAAAGCAAGGCAGCAAAGGGCAGGAGAAGGGGCCTGGCACGGCCCCCCACGGCCCCCCCTGCCCTCACCTGGGCCCTGGATGATCCCTATACCACCATGGCTGACTACGAGCGCAGCATCCAGGACATGGTGCGCCAGCTGAGGAACAGCTCTGAGCCAGGTGACACCAAGTGCCAGATCAACTTGAGGCTCTGGAGGTCCAACCGAAGGAGCCTGTCCCCCTGGGCCTACAGGTGAGCTTGGGGCAGGGACCCTGGGGACATGCATGGTGGCTCCATGCCAGCAAGTGCCATGGCAGCCACAGCACCAGCATCATGGGGCTGTGGTGGCTCATGGAGGGTGTGATTCTAAGCAGCACCCCATTTCACCCTGTGGAGGTATTACCCTGCCCATCCCCAGATGCCCGCTGCCCCCCATCTCACCATCTCTCCAGCCTCATCTTGCTTTCCTTCTCCTCCAGCATAAACCATGATGCAACGCGGATCCCAGCAGACATCCCCGAGGCCCGATGCCTCTGCACTGGCTGCATCAACCCCTTCACGATGCAGGAGGACCGCACCATGGCCAGCATTCCCATCTACAGCCGGCTGCCTGTCCGCCGGCTGCTCTGCCAGGTGCCGGGTGAGGTTGGGCACAAGCCCTCTGGGAAGAAGTGTCACAAGAAGTACCAGATGGTCATGGAGACCATTGCTGTGGGCTGCACCTGCATCTTCTGAGGTTGCAAAGCTAACCCCTGCAGCTATCCGTGGGCATCTAACCAGCTTGCTCTTGCTTCCTGACCTTGCCCAGCCCTCTGGGAGAAAGTCACCTGGCTGAGCATCAGGGTGAGAACCCCTATGCAAGGCGACGGCAGCTCCAAGAGCTCCCCAAAATTCCCCTGCAGACTCCATCAGCCTCAGCCCAAGCAGCCACTTTGGGGACACCCAGCATGGGGACAGCCCCTGCAAGTCACCCAGCTAGGCAGTCCCATGGCTGGCCTCGCAGCGAGACACTGCCCTGAGCCCCCTCACCTCGCGGTAGGAGCTCAGCAGGGCAGGCTGGGGAGAGAGGGAGGAAGCTGCCTGCCAGTCCCTCCGCCTGAGCAGGAGGACCAGGCCTCCTCCCTCCCCAAAGTCCCCATTTGCCTCCATCAGTGCAACAGCAGCACTGCGACCTACAAGCTCCTCTGCATTGGGCCAGGCAGCCCGGGGAGCAGGGCAAGCAGATGGTGGTTTGGGCAGCTTCTGAGGTCTTCAATAAAGCACACTGCTGGCCCCTGTCTGAGCTGCCCCTGCCTCGGCCCGTCGCGCTGCCCCTCTGGCACTGCCTGCCCGGGGGTGTGTGCTGCCCGGCCTTCTCCCAATGAGGCTCTTCTGCCCCCCAAAACACAGCCAAGCCCCATGCTCAGGGAAGCCTGGATGCCTCTGGAAAGAGAGCACCTGGCAGCAGGCACCTCTCCCTGCAAGCCAGGACCTGCAAACAGCCCACCGTGCCCATACCCTGGGCGCTGAGCCAGCCATTGGTGCCAGGCTCCACGCACACACGGCATGGGAGAGGCCACGGGACCCCCTGGCCCAGCCAGGGCCAGCCCTACCACCGCGTATCCCGGGGGCAAAGCCAGGAAAGCAGCAGAGGCTGCAGCAGGAGCCAGGGGAGACCCATCTGCTGCCAATGCCAGCCAGCCTCATCCCTGAAAGTCCCCTGAGGTCCCTCCTAAAACCAGATGCACAGTGACCCTTTTTCACAGGAAAAGGCACAGGTTCCCTTCCAGCAGAGCCTGGGGAGGGGGAACAGGGAAACCGAGGCATGCAGCACAGACACACAGCAACACTAGGCTTGGACTGTATTCCTGAAGGCAACACATTCAAGTCATCTGGGACAGTCTGTCCCCTCTCCCCCAGCCCCAAACCCCCTGGCATCCCCAAGGCAATAAATAATCCCCAGGCTACCACACACAGAAGCTCCCAGCCCACCGCCTCCCGTGGGCGTCACAGCTCAGTCTTCACCTTGTGCATCAAGTCCTTCTGGTCGATTTTCTCCAGGTCCTGATGCCAGCGGTTGTAAGCCAGCAGGGCCACGTTTTTGGCCGCTACCGCTATCATCTCCATGGAACTGGCCACCCACTCCACGCCACTGAGGTAGAAAAGGTTTTCATGGAGCAAGATGGGCGGGAGGGACTTGGCAGCATCGTAGCGGGGATACGTCTGCCACTCTGTCACCTGCACCGAGTAGTAGGACCTGAAGAGGGTCTTTAGCTGCTGCTTGTCCAGTGGCTGCTGAGAGAGGACACGCCACACTGCAGCCTCCTGGGGCTGCTTGCGACGAAAAGCTGCTGAGATGTTGACAGGACAGATGTTGTCCATGGCGTTGAAGAAGAGGTCGGGGGTGTCAGTGGTGAGGATGCTGGCAAAGGGAAAGAGCTTGGGGTCAGGGAAGCCGAAGTAGGAGGAGTTGAGGTAGCCATGCACCACGGAGGTGACGGAGGGCTGGAAGGCTCCAGGGAAGTCGGCGATGGGCGGCTCGAAGTTCTCAAAGGTGAAGTTGCTTCTGCTGGGGTGCAGGGGAGTTGTCACAACTACCATGTCGTAGAAAGCTGAGCCCTGGCCTTCACTGCCCTCGTAGTGTACCTGGTAGAGGGCTCTCCCCTCTGGAAAGAGATGGTAGACAGTTAGGAGTAGCCCTGAGTCCCAAGTGGTATTGCCCTGGTCCCTTTCTTTCTAGCAATGCCTCCATCCTCTGGTTTTCCAGTACATGCTAGTGCTGGACAACAGCATCTGATGGTTATGGATGAGTTGTTGATGCTTTAGGGCAGTGGAAAGATTTTATGAAGTCTGGGGGAGAAGGTTTCCAGGGAAGCCCAGCCTAGCAGGGCCAGGAGGACTAGGGCAGCACTCCAAACCCCTGCTATCCAGCCCTTCTGCTGTGCTGGACAGGGGAGCAAGCCTACAACAAGGATGGTGCCATAGAAGAGACCTGAGGGACCTCAGGAGGGAGAGGGGGGAACCTCAGGGCTGAGGTCTGTACTGCAGGGCCCCCACTGGATCACGCAAGGGGAAGAAATGGACAGACCCCCGACCGTTGCTCAAATGCTTTCCAAGGACCAGGATGCTCTCCAGCCTCCCAGCACTCTCACTCTGCCCCAGCATCCCCATGTGCCCACCCAGGCTGGCAGCACCCAGAGCAGATCCCGTGCCCAGGCTCACCCGAGCTGTGCAGAGACACGCCTGTCACCCTGGCCGGGATGACGTTGGCTTTGGTCAGCTTCAGCAGACCCGAACACACCAGCTTGTTGCCTCCTTCCACTGCCCAGGTGCTGCCTTGGGCCCCTGCCAGCGACATGGCTCCTGGGGAGAGGAAGAGGAGGGTGGCTCAACAGCCTGCCCATGGAGGAGACGCTGAGAAGGAGTCACACAGGGAGGAGAGGGGGTCCCCGGTTTCACCTGCGAAGGCAGGCACCAGCACTGACTGCCCGTAGCTGGAGCGCAGGACAGCCGCGATGACGTCGTCCACGAAGCGCTGCGTGACGCCCACCTCCAGCAAGGACTCGGCCACCGAGCGCTGCGTCATGTTGACAAAGGCGTCACCCCCCAGCGAGCGCAGCAGCTCCTCCAGGCTGGAGAAGGCATAGCCATGAGCCTGGTACTTGTAGATCCTGGAGGGGACAGGAGCACAGGGCACCTGGTGATGCCCCAGTGCCGGGGAAGACCCCCTGTGTCCCTCCACCCCTGTGGGCTCTCCCACCTCATGAACTTCTCCATCACTTCCTCCACCCACATCTGGAGGCGCAGGAAGCTGATGCCATAGTGCCACCAGAGCCGGAAGAGGTTGAGCAGGTACCAGTCGGTCTCTTCCAGGACGAAGTGCTCCCCGCTGAATATGGCACTCTTCCCTGCCACCTCGCGCCGATGCTTGAGGCCTGCAGGGAGCAGAGGGGCCCCAGCCCCACTGGGCTCACACCCTGGGGCTGGCTGGCTGTGGGGAAAGGCCAGTGCCAAACCCTGCCACAGCGGGGATGCGGGAAAAGATGCTCTTGGAGGAGGATCAGGGAGTGTGAGACCCCAGGGCACGGGGACCCCAGCCAGATCCTCCATGTTGGGGAATGCCATGGAGTTGCTGCTGCCTACTGGGACAAACTGGTGAAAGTTTGTGGGCAAATCCCCAACCCCCCTCCCCCCTAATTCCACCAGGACCCCTTGCCCTGATGCTCTGCTGGGCCACCCCATTCCTTTCTCTTCCAGAATACACCAGGGCTGGGGCATGGGGACAGTGAGGGGGTCACCCCATGCCTGGGGTGCTGAGGCAGACTGGAAGCCACCCCCACTACTGCACCAAGCCTCAGCCTGGGGCACCCCAGCCCCCCGCCTTGGGGAGGGAGGCCCCACAAGCGCTGGGGTGCATGTGCTCACCCAGGATCTTGACGAAGTCCTGCATGTGGAGGCTGAGGGCGTGGATGGAGGCTCCCCTGCTCTCGTACTGCTGCTTGTTGACGGTGACGGTGGCCAGCCGGCCGCCCACCCCCGCTGCCTCGAACACGTCCAGCTGCACCTGCGGCCCGAAGTGCTGCTGCAGGAAGTAGGCGACGGCCGAGCCGCCCAGCCCGGCGCCCACCACGGCTGC